GAGTTTCTAATCTAAAACCTAGCAATATATAAATGTTCTTGTCACTGAGTAGTATAATTATTTTAACAACCAAAGACAATGTTTCATTTGAACAGATTTAAGATATTCTGCTAAATTAGTAAAAAATTAATAGTGATCATTACTTTTCAAATAACTTTAAAGTGTACTGAAAGATACTCCAAATACTTTAAATCTTTCAAAAGAAAACTGTTTTACAACAAAGGGTACAGGTTTACAACTCTATTCAGAGAGGCAAGAGTACGGAAGAGAAAACAAACACATTTGATTCACTGCTTAATTCAAAACTAAATATGGAAAATCTTAAAGCAGCTAGAAAGGAGGACAGGTGGGCAAAGGACCAAATGTTAAATACAAAAAATAAGAACTTTGTCAATATATGTGCTTTAAAAACTATAATAAAAGAAAAAGAAAAATACTGGATGGTCTCACTCATAGCAGGAATCTAGAAAACTTAAATAAGGGACCAGGAAAATGAATAACTATAAGAAAGTGAAAATCAAAATCAACAAACAACTACGAACCAGAGACACTCTATGGGGGTGGGGGGCGGGGAGGGGAGGGATTGGTGTCAAAATAAGGGGGTTGCAATTGTATGGGGAATATAAAAATAAAATTTTTTTAAAAATTTAAAAATTAAAAAAATAAAAATAAAAACTATAATAAGGCTATCGAGGTAAATACCAAGCAAATGGAACTGTTGATGTCTGGAATTCAGTACCAATCAATCCTCATGAGAAACAGAAGTCAAGAAAAATCAAATAGGGAGTCTAAACACAAGAAGCTAAGAGTCCTAGCAACCTTTCCCTGAGAAAATAAAGCATCCTTAAGGTATGCTCTGGAATTGCAATATATCTGTCCCTTCTGAAGTTTACAATGGCCCCTGACCACAAAAGGTGGGCACTCTCTTTCCGCTCTTACAACAATTTGCTCCTATAAACTTAGGAAGGGGCAGAGCCACAGCCATAAACACAGGTCACAAGTAATAGGTAGTCAAATGCTCTCTATCTTCAAATGTTTCCCAGGTCTTTACTCATACAGTGTTGTTTTGTTGTTGTTGCTGTTGTTGTTTTAACACCTTGGTTAAATAAGGACTTCATCTAGCCTAGGTCAGATGAATATGAGATTGATTAAGTTCAACAGCACCATCATATAAACTGCTACAGGTCTCAAATTTTTCACTTTTCACACACTCTTTCACTTTTGACACAATCAATAGGATATCCTCATTTTTTTAAAATGAAAATCTTTCAATCACTTACCCAAAAGTGAAAGAGAAAAGTTTAGTAGCAATTGCTTAGCATAAAAACCACCAGTATTATTTTTTAAATGGCCAAGGTTTACTTAAAATAGACAACATAAAGACAAAATAAGCAGAAATGCCTTACTCATGGAAACCAAAGAACATATACACACTTCAAATATTACATGGTTTCTGAAATTTTCTTGTTATCTTGCTCTAACAACCACCACCTCTATCTTTTTAAAAATTGTTACTACTACAATAAAGGCATTTTTTTTTTCCAAATCAGAATTACCATACGAATAAAGGCATTTCTAAGCTTAGAGTAACCAAAGCCTAAGTAAATTACATCTACCCATTTTAATCTAAGATAAACAGTGTGGTTTCTTTTATCTATTTCCCTAAGACAAAAGAATCATAAATATTAAGACCCAAGCCAAGAAGGATAAAGTTTTTCTTTCAAATCACCATTTGCCACTTTCAAAATTTTCAGGTGTTTGGTTCCTAAAAAGTCACTTCAAATTCTACCTCTTCAAATTCTTAGATATTATATAATAACTTTTATACAGTAATAAATGTTTCTAAAATTCTTAGGGATGCTTAATTTGCTCACTCCAAACTACAAAGCATCTCCTGGCAATGTCACAATGTGGAACAAGTATTTGCACCAAAGCCTCTTATCTCTAATGTATCAACATTGTCAGAGAATACTTTGTTCATATCTTGTATATCCTAAGACCCAGGAATATGACTATGAGGAGACAATGAGACTCCCAGGTAGGGGAGCTATAGAGAAGATGACCTCAGATTTCCACTCACAACTGGAAGGAGAATAGAGTTGGCAGAAGAAGGTGAGGGGGGAAGTAGCAGACAAGGTAACCTGGCCAAAAAAAAAAAAAAAAGGTCTAGAGGTGACTATCTGTAGTTAAAAAAATAGCAGAGGATCCCTTGTATCCAGCCTTCCAGTTACTAAAGTTACAACTAAAGTTACTAAAGTTAACCCAAAGAAAGGGGTAATAAAATACTCAAGTGAAATTATCCTCACTCCCCAAGAATTCAAACAAAAATTTGGATTTGTATCTTCCTTAAATGGAACAAGAGGCTATGACATTTTCTTTCAAAAGACTTAGTATTTACTCAGTCTTTTCAAGGCACTTTGCCATCATCAACTATTTCTCAGTGAGGCAGCGCAGGATTACCCTGAACACTGATGCGGAAACAGACACCAACAGCAAGGGGAACGGGCAGGAAGAGGGGCGATAGGAAGCATCTGGGAGGAACAGGCAGGCAACTAAAAAGGAACAAACCCAAGAGAAAATGAGAGTCACATCTGGCTTATAGCTGACCATCATAACCCTTATTTTTGAGTTCAGAGCAATTTCTGAAAGAAATATTATGAAAAAAGAAAGTGCTCTAAATAATCAGTCAGATACTAATAACCTAGTTACAACCTAAACTACTTGGTCATAGAAGTGAAGTTATTTAGCATTAAAAAAATTTCCACATACTGATTTCAGTTTATACCAGTAATCCATTTTCCCCCTCAAGGCTAACCAGAATGTTACCTGTCTGACCCAGAAAATAATCTCTCATAAAAATGTATAACTTTATATAATTATTACAAAAAAAGGCACAAAGTTAATATCACACAAGTCAGGAATCATTCAATTAGTCAGAATTTTGTTTAGAGAATTACAACCAAAATACTGACTCCTTGAATTAGCCCTTGCAATAAGAGAAAAACTTTTTCTACATTCTCACTGATATTCTTAGCTACAACCTTGAGATTTTCAGGAATAAACTACTGATGGGAACCAGAAACTAGCACACACAGCAGCCTCCAAAGAAATGTACCACAGACATCACGGGCACTTAATGTGTTGATTGAAGCATAAATCTAATGGACTAACCAATTTCCTCATGAGAAAAACATAGTATATCTTTAAGGCTGATTTCAATGTTTTTCTGTACATATCACTAAGTCATTAGCTTTAAAGCATCCCCACATTAACCTTTTTGTCCAAACTATCAATTCCAAAACAAATCAGGTTCCTTGGGAGAAACAGGTATACACCCTTAAGCAGATTATAATGCTGCATAATACATACAAAATTTATTTAAAAATTTCAAAGCCATTTTAAATGGTGTTTAAGTTTTTAAGGCTGCTTTGAAGACTACAAATAAAGCTATAGCCAAACAAATACAAGGTATCAGGTGAGGGCTCATAACTCACATCTTTCCCAAAATCCCAACTGGACTCATCTCCAAAAGCTTATTTTCACATTCCTCACACTGAATACACAAAGTCACACACAGACTGAAAGAACACTCATCCTTGAAAATACACTATTTAATGAGTAAGAAAAACGGCAAGAAAGGCAAAATTTTCATTATTGAAGGACACTCCCAAGCAGTAACTGAGAAAAAAAAAAAATCCATCTATGAACTATTGCTTGTCAAAGCAGTTGTACTCCATAAATGTTATACATCTGATAACTCTCCCCCCCCCCCGCCGCCCCCAAGCAGAAATATGAATAATTAATTCTAGGTTGAGGAAAGCATCTGCAGTTGTTTTGGAAAAGAAAACTATCTAAAATAATTTTGTAATCACATGATCATAAGGAAGTTCTCATCTTCCCTGCCTGGTTTTCTCCCTATTTTCTAGACATGTCCTAAAGTCACCCCTACAGGTTAAGTCATAACTGCCAATCTTTCAGTCCATGCAAGAAGAGGCTAATTTCAAATTGTAGTCACATTTGTAAGGAACGACAAATATCTTACGACCTTTTTTAAAAAAAAAAAATCAATCTTAACTGGGAACGTGTAACTAAATACCTGTGCTACCCAAACGCGGAGGAGGGGGGGAGCCAAATTACAGTTCTTCCCTCGAAGCTCAGTATAACCTCATTGCACACAACAGACTAAATTCGCCGACCCGCTCTCCATCCGCGGATCCACACTCGGCTGTAGCACAACCATTTAATCCAGGTGGAAAAAGCAAGATCGCTGTCTCGACGTCAAGGCAGCCACGGTCCCCAGATCCAATTGCACCGCGAGGGCACCGCAGCCGCCCCGCCAGAGTATCAAAGCCCCCCTTGCTGCCCCCCAGCCCCGCGCGTCCCGGCCCGAGCCCGCGGCGCACCCCCCCTTCACCGCCCCGAGCCCCGAACGCGAGTCCGACCGGCACCTGGCCCCGTCACCCGAGCCCCGCCGCGGGAGCATCCTTCCCGGCTGACGTTTCCCTCTCAAACTCCAAAAGTAATCTCAGACGTCCCCCAAAAGACGCCGCCAAGTCACCCCGGGGACGCAGCCGCACGCCCCCCGGAGTCACAGGCAGACCCCAGCCGGGGCGGGAGGATGCGCTTCGAACCTGGGAGCGGCTGGAGGAAAGCGGCCGGAGTCGGAACGCCCAAGCGCCGCGGGCGGGATGGGCCGGGAGCCGCGCGAGGGCCCGGGGGCGTGTGTGAGCCTCGCAGCAGAGCTGAGGGGCGTCGCGGGGAAGGCGACGGGAGACAGAGGACCCCAGCCCTCGAGGGGTGAAGCTGACCAGGGTGGGCTCCGGGGCTGCGGGGCCGAGCTGCGGCCCGACCCCCGAGTGACCGTTGAGGGGGCGTTCCTCGCGCGGGACGCGCCGCCGAGGGCTACCCGCCACCCGCCCGTCCGCGGACAACCACCCAGAAAGCCCGGAGGCCACGGCTCCGTCGCTCGGTTCCTCGCGGGGCCCGAAGGCGACACGTACCCCGGGTCTCGCCCACGAAAGGAGCGAAATTCTGTCACACCGACCCCGCGAACCGGCACCGGACTTCACACCGCCGCCGCCGCCGCCATGTTTGAGAAGCCGCGCGCCTCGCCGCGCATGCCCCGCAACCGCCGCCGACGCCCCGCCCCCCCCGCGGGCCCGCGTGCCGGGAGGTGGCCGCTGCTCGCCCTGACCGCGCGCGTGCGGGCCCGAGCGGGGGGCCCGGCCGGAAGCCCGCGCGGGCGCTGACAGCCCGCCGCCCAGAGCCCGGGCCGGCCCGGGGCGGTTTCCTCTCCGCCGCCCCACACCGCCACCTCCCGCTCCCCTCCCGCCAAAAAAAAATGAAAAGCCAGTCGCAGCCCACGCAGAGTGGGACCCCGCCGTCCGCGGCGAGTCCCATCCCGGGCGCGGTCTTCGACTCTCAGCCGCCACCCACCCCGGCCACGCACCGAAAAGACCGCCGCTTCCCTCCCGACTCCAGCAAGTTCAAGGAGCCGGGAAAAGCCACCCCTTAGGGCAGCTGGAGCGAAGCCACCCCCTTCGCGGGCGGCCTGCAACTTATCCCCTGGAACAGTTTTTAGTGTTTTTTCAATTCCCACGGGTCTCGCCAGGCACCCCCACCCCACCCCCTCCGGCTCCACTTTCTGCATTTAGCGGTTCCTCCGACCCAGGCTCCAGCTAACGGAGCGAGATCACCGCCCGGGGGAAAGTGACTTGCTTACAGGCTGCAAAGTGCTCGGGAACATCCTCGAGGGTGCGTGTCGCGCTGCCGCAGCCCGCTCCCGGCCGCCCGCGCAGAGCGCGCGCACAGGTGGAAGTCCCGGCGACGGGGCGTGGTCGCGCGCACGAACCCGACCCCTCGGCGCGGGGTGTACGGCGAGGAGAGACGTCCATCCCTCCTTAGGAGGGTGAGTATCTGCAGATTTCCAACTTCTGTTTGAACAATAATAAGATGTGCTGTGCTAGCCAAAAGTGAACTCTTGGCAGGCTGGCTTTCCCCACAGCTCTTTCCAAAAGGTGGATGTAGGTTTTGCACCCGCGATCGCCTTCGCTTAGTATATTGTGCTCGATGCATTGTCAAAATCATAATTCAGACACCGGAGCCTCCCTCCCCCCCCCACACCCCCAGAAAAAAGAAAGGAAAACCAACTTGCAGAATAGATCCATTTTCTACCATGTAAAACTTTTCATACGCAGCTTTCGCAATCTTAAACAAAGGCCTAATTAAAATGTTTTTATTGTAACTAAACATTGGCGAATGGCATAAAATTAAATTGCTCTGATTGTGAATCCTTTAAAAATGAGTAAATGGGGCCTCCGTGGTGGGGCAGGGGTTAAAGTCTCAGCACTATCAGGCTATCCCCAGCCACTGCAGCATGAGTTCGATCCCAGGCTGGCCAGGGAGCGAACCCACCTGGTGCAGCAGACCTCTCCTGCCTCACCCGTTGCTCTCCTCAGCAGTGTATTTCGGTCAGTTTGCCAGTTCTGCTCTTCACTCTGTCTCTGGTGAATCTCTCACTCCCTGCACCTCTGGCCTGCACCCCAGTTCTTGTATGCATAAATGAATAAATCTTTTTTTAAAATGAGTAAATAAGTGTTAGTGCAGACGTCAAGAAAACTTTATGGTGGAAAATAGAAAAATAAGGTCATTCATAAGCAACTATCAAAGAGATTTGGTCATATTAGTTGCATAATATATATCACATACAACGGGATGTTAAAATGGTCTGAGATGAGGGTTTAAACGTGTTTTTAAAAGCCAGAAAGTTACTTCACCACAAAGAAATTAAACAGAGGTTTAATCGAGGCAAGCCCTATTGTGGGCTACAGCAGACCCAGGGGGCCACTAACTTTCTAATCCTGATGCAGTGGAAATATTTGAAATTAATCTCTACATTCTTTATATGAAAGATTTGGGTTATCGTTCACACCACTTTTACATATATTAAATGGTAGGAATTCTATTCTGATGGTTAAACTGACTCTCACCTATGTTTCATCTACTTTCCATTTCTGTTTTTAACATGAAATTACCAAAGCCCTTACTCTAGAAGTATAACTCGCATGATCTCAGTGACTATGTTCACCAAGGATTTGTGTGTGGAAGGCTGACTCCTGTTATATTACATATGAGTTATTGACAATGATAACATCTATTGAGCACCTTCTATGTGCTGAGAATCATGTTAGTCTCTTCAGATGCATAATTTCCAATATCCACAATGTTCTCTCATAAAGTTCTTATCAGCTAGGTACCCTTATTCCCATTTTCTAAATGAGAAAATTGAATATTACATACAAATAAGTGGCAGAATCATCTTCTAAACATCAAACCCTTCCTAACTATCCCCTTCCACCCTTAATATCAGTCATACACTTTTAGCATACAGTATGCATATAAACATTCAATAATAATTCTTTCATTTACTTATACCCTGCTTTGTCTCTTTTGCCAAAACTTGAAACTACTTTTTAGTGATTTTCACATAGGTTGGAACATCATTTATTTTACAATATATGGAAGTCTTTTGCACACTGTAAGAATTTGGTAAATGTTTGGTGAATGGATGAATACCTACTATTATAATATTCAATTAATTTTGCCTAGAAATCATGAAAATAATCAGATACTGTGAACCGAAAGAAGAAGAATTAAGGCTAGCAAAATCCAAATTTTCATGATTTAGTTTTCAAATATTTCTATATAGGAGTCGATTTGCTCCTATAGTTCTCCTGTCAGCCCAAAACATAATCTTCACCCACCCCAAATTCAATGCCAAATGTTCCTGTATCTGAAGTACATTTGATCACTTCCTCTTGTGCCTTTCTTTAAAATTTAATATTAGACTATCAGAATAAAAAGATGGTCTTCTTTCCTAGATAAGCCAGTGTAATATAGATTTCTATCAGCACATATGCTTATATTGAAACAACACTATTTGCATTGGTATTCCACCTCCACAGTCCATTGTGCTCCTCCCCACTGTGTTTTCATCCTCCCTTTCCCCCTCTGGATGCCTCAGTTTTATAGTCAGCTTTCAGAGGTTAGTTTTTAAGCTTGTCTTTATCTGACCCTTTGTTTGGTTTCTCTATATTCCACATATAAGTGACACCATCAGATATTTGTCTTTCTCCTTCTGACATGAGTTTATCTGTTATGAGTTTCTCTCTTTTGATTGCTGAGTAATACTCCATTGTGTATATATATATATATATATAGCACATCTTCTTGATCCACATCTGCTGTTTTGGGGTGCTGAGGTCGTTTCCATAGTTTGGCTGTTGTAAATGGTGCTGCAATAAACATGGGAGTACAGGTTTCCTTTCAAATTAATGTTTTTGTGTTCTTCAGATAGATGCCTAGAGGAATTACTGGGTCATATGGCAGGTACATTTTGAATTTTTTGAGAAACCTCCATGCTGTTTTTCATAGGGGAAGCTTCTAGTTTTCTTGCTCCATGTACTCCTTTCTCCCTAAAACACAGAACCCTAAAATAGCCGGGGAGAGACTAATAATCTAAGGTGTTCCTGGTAAACTCACCATTTATATTTTCATCTTAGCAAAAAAAGATCATATTGGGTATTAATGAATTAATAAATACAATGGCAACTGACTTTACAAACATCTATAGATCCTTGTTTTTAACAAATTGTCCTTTTGTTCCTCATTGAACCAAGAGCACATATCTGTAAGATAGGAGTTGATTTTAGTATTGTCATTATGAGTTACAATAAACCTCTTTTCCTCACTAAAAAATGGTAACTTCCTTGGAAAAATATCAAGAGGTGAAGACTGATGTGAAGAGAGGACTCTAACAAGAAGGCTAAATCGTGCGGTAAATGGACACAACTGCCGTAGAGGTCTGAGCTTTTGTCTTGAATCCAGAGTCTATTAACCACTAACTAGATTTGTTTAGGATCTTTACATGCCACAACTTTCATCATTAAGGAAAAAATGGGATAATCAAATTTGGCACACTTGCTTCACAGATAAGAAAGTGCTACTCAAATCTAACAAAAAACCCACATGGTCTTTCTTTAATATTTTTTTAGAAAACATAAATTAGTCTTTTACCAACAAATATATAAGATCTAAGCTGACTTTGGCCAAGTATTTTATATGGTGTGAAAATCCACCTAACTTCAGTGAACATTTTACAACACACTTGGCCACTGTTACATTCACTCGGTCCTTCAGGCAAACACCAAACATTTGTTAAATGTTTGTTGTATGCAACTCTAGTAGATGTGGAGATACTGAGATGATTAACACAAATTGAGCACTTCTGGAGTTTACTCCCAGTGCAAAGAGGGGAGAAAAGGGTAAATAGAAGGGAGGGAGGGAGATTTTAAAATCTTCAAAAGAACTAGGATCTCACCCCCACTTCATCATATCATTTTTTTTTTTTTTTTTTTTTTTTTTTATAGAGGCATGCTTTATTTATTTGTTTTGCTGGTTTGTTTGTTTGTTTTGTTTATACATGCACTGGGTACAGTCAGAAGCGCGGGAGGGTGAGAGAATTCACCAGAGCCAGAGCGGGGAGCAGAGCAGGCAGAAGGACCGAAGTACACTGCTGAGGGGAGCAGCGGGCGGCAGGAGAGGTCTGCACGCCATGTGGGACCCTCCTCTGGTGGCCGGGGAGCAGCCGGGGATCGAACCGGCGCCGCAGAGGCCGCGGGCAGCTTCGCAACCCAGCGCTCAACCGCTGCGCCACCGGGGAGGCCCTCATCATATCATTTTTACATGTACTCATAATCTGGATAGCTAGAAGGATGCACTTGCACTTGCCCCGCTGACATAAGTCCTTTGGACATGTAATTAAAACATAAGTTTTGATTGTACGCTTTTTGTGCTGGCTCTTCATGTGAGCCATCTCCCCACTCCAGCACTCTAGCTCTTTTGGCAACCTGTGTAGCCAGTGGAGGAGGCAGGGAGGGGAGGAAGGACGAGAGAGAGATTTCTTCCCCACTCTCTTCCTGTGTAGGGCTGCAGCGGTTCTGCCAATGACTGTGGCCCCGCAATGACAGCCTC